AAAACCAGTAGAGTTCGAAACCATGGTTATAAGGTTTTTCAAGAGTCTTCCAGAAACCTCTGAGAAATTTATCAAGACCCTCAAGAATATGAAAAAGCACACACTGACTGAAATAAAGAATAATATACAGAAACCAAATAGCAGACTAGAGGATTGCAAGAATCAAATTAAAATTTTGAAATACGAAGCAAAAAAAACCCAACTGGAAAAGCAAAAAGAAAAAGGAACCCAAAAATTTGAAGATAGTGTAAGGAGCCTATGGGATAACTTCAAGCATACCAACATCAGAATTATGGGGGTGCCAGAAGAAGAGAGAAAGCAAGATACTGAAAACCTATTAGAAGAAATAATGACAGAAAACTTTCCCTACATGGTGAAAGAAATAGACTTATACGTCCAGGAAGTGTACAGAACCCCAAACAAAAGGAATCCAAAGAGGACCACACCAGGACACATCATAATCAAAATGCCAAGAGCAAAAGACAAAAAAAAAGAGAGAATTTTAAAAGCAGCAAGAGAAAAACAGTTTCCTACAAGGGAGTACCCATATGATTGTCAGCTGATTTCTCAGCACAAACTACTATGCAGGCCAGAAGGGAGTGGCAAGAAATATTCAAAGTGATGAACAGCAAGAACCTACAACCAAGATTACTCTACCCAGCAAAGCTATCATTCAGAATTGAAGGTCAGATAAAGAACTTTACAGGTAAGCAAAAGCTAAAGGAGTTTATCACTGCCAAACCAGTATTATATGAAATGCTGAAGGGTATTCTTTAAGAAGAGGAAGAAGAAAAAGGTAAAGATAAAAATTATGAACAAGTACATATCTATCAACAAGTGAATCTAAAAATCAAGTGAATAAAAAGTTTGATGAACAGAATAAATGGAGGATATAATAGAATCAGGGGCATAGAAAGACTGACAATTCTCAGGATGCAAGGGGTGTCGGGGTGTGGGAAGAGATTGGACAAAAATTGTACACCTATGGATGAGGACAGTGAGTAGGGTGGAGGGGAGTGAAGGCAGAAGGTGGGGTGGGAACCGTGTGGAGGGGAGCTATGGGAAGAAAAAAATGCCCCCCCCCAAAAAAAAACAAAAACAAAAACAAACACCAAAACATAAATTTTAAAAGGATGAGCTAAAGATGAAAGAGACCATATTTTATAATGACATGTTACTCATAATAGCTTCATTTTATTATCAGCAAATATCTGAAGGCAAAATACAGATAGAGGACAAGGTTTGTGATTTCAGCAGCAGTTCTAAATCAGTTTTCAAATTGTTTTGGTAATTTCAGATGTTGTTCTGGTTGACTTCTTGTCAGATTTGGGAAACATTGCTTTATATCACATCCTCTACCCTTAACATTGCCCTTTCTTTCCTGTCAAAACCAAAAAGCTCTGCTAGCACCTCCTTTGGCTGCCTCCCTCCTCCAGAAATGTGGAGGTAGTCATCTTTGACACCTTTCTTTTCCTTGTCCCTTCAGCCATTATTTACCATAGTCTGGTAAATATGGGGTCAACTCTTCCCACATTCTCCTTTGATTGCCAAGTTCCCACCACCGGGGCTCCATCTTCCTCCCAGTCATCACAGGAGTTTACACTTCAGATCCTCTCTCGCTGGACTGCCCCCGATCTCTTCACTGTCTCCTCCTTGCCCCAGGATGAAGGTTACTTTTTTCATTGCCCAGTTTACTTTCTGAGGCTCTTTGGACCTTTTTTCATGGCTCTTATCACAATTTCATTTTTATACTTATTATATTTAAGTTTGTTTAAAGTATATAGCCCTCTAGTATGTAGATTATAAATTCCTTGAAAGCAGGGACTATATCTGCGCGCTCTCTCTCTCTCTCTCTCTCTCTCTCTCTCTCTCTCTCTCTCTCTCTCTCTCTCTCCCCCCCCCCTCCCCGTGTGTGTATGTGTGTGTGTGTTTGTGTGTGTGTGTGTATGTGTGTGTGTGTGATGCAGTCTCAAAAAATAATTAATACAGCAACTCTATGAAGTAGTGCCAAACAGTATCTCCATTTTACAGATGAAAAAAATTGAAAGACAAACGGTTAATTGCCAAAAGGTCACCAGGTTAATATGCTGGTATCAGACCCAGGTCTTTTGATTGCAATGTGAACACTTACCAGCTGCTCTAAGTTATTCACTGGTAACCTGCATAGGCTAAGGGCTCATCTTAAGTCCCACCATCCTTGCTGATGCCCCACCAGCCCTCTACAGTGAGTCTCTTTGTGTTGAATTAGTTTGATTAGTATTCAAGGTCTCCGTATAACAACATTTATCCTATGCTATTCTGAATAACATCATCTTTTCCCCCAAATAATTCCAGTCCCTAAATCTCACCCACCTAAGCTATATTGTAAAGTGAGACCCTGCATTGACTCATTCTTCTCTTGAATCCCTTGGCAAGGACCTGGGGACTCCACATACTGAGTAAATAATTACTATTAGTTGATTGTCATCAGGAAGGTGACAAAGATTTCATCTGACTCCCAAGTTAAATCCTATCTTTGCACATACATGCTCCCCAGCCAAGAGCAAGACCGGATTTAGAGAAATTTTAACTGTTCCATTTTGCACTTGTTGGCTTTCTTCCTGGTGGATCTCAATTTCTGGCTGAAACCCAATAATTTAAGGGTCTTCATTACCATGAGTTTTTTCATGAGTTGCTGATGGCTAATTAGGGGTGATTATGGTTAAGAGGCTCTACTTTCTTACTAACCCTCAGAAAAAACTGATGGTCACTTTTAAAATCTTGATTATTTTCTCTTGTAAATGGAATTTTCTGGTCTCATATCTGTCTTTTCTTAAGTGCTCATAACTTACCTTCCCATCTTCCCTTTCTTGTGAGAAGGAAATGTAAAGTCCTAGGAAGAATTTGGAAATGAGTGATTTTGCAAAACTATTGGCACACCTAGAAATCTTGTTCATTTATTTGTCTTTCTCTGAAAAAAGGTGCAGGAGGATAGGAGGCTGGGCCATGATTTTACTTCCCAACACCCATTACATTTCAACCAAACTTCCCATCCTAGGCTTTCTGAGGCTTTTCATAAAGTTTGAAAGTGTTGGATCACTTGAAATGTAGAAATTCTGTTTAGTGAAGGATTCTAAATAAAGTAGGGGAAGGAGTGTTAGCTTCCTGATTTTACTATGATAACACATTTTAAGTGTTGCTTCACCTCTTCTTGCATGAGTATCATCAGGGCTACTTTTTATTGAATATAACTCTGTGTCAGGCACTGGGCCAATGTCCACTCACTTAATTGTCACAATTACTTGAAGTAGTTTTTAGGCAGTGTTTTGAAAGTTTCATTAAGTTATAATTCATATACCATACTTCACCAATTTAAAAGTGTATAATTCAGTGGTTTTTAGTATATTCACAGGACTGTGCAGCCATCACCACACTCTAATATTAAAACATTTTTGTCATCCCAAGAGGAAACATTGTACCCTCCCATGAGCCCCATCCAACCACCAGATAGTGGCAACCGCTAATGTACTTTCTGTCTCTATAGATATGCTTATTCTGGACAATTGTTATGAATGGAATCATACAATATATGATCTTTGTGGCTTGCTTCTTTTATTTAGGATAATGTTTTCAAGGTTCATCTTTGTTGGAGCATGTGTCAGTATGTCATTTCTTTGTGGTGTTAGTATTTTTACCCACTTCTGAGGTTAATTCTGGTCCCAGTCCCATCATCAACCGCAGCCCCACCCCTTGCTATCCACCTCTCACTCAAAGGAAACAGTTACATCTAGGAGCATAAGAAGGGCAGTTGTGCATTAGGGAAACCAAAACACAGAGGCAAAATGACTTCCCTGTGGTTAAGTAGCTTTCAACAGATGTGGCTAAATTTCCAATGCAGGCTTGCCTAATGCCAGTTTGGCTATGAGTTTAGTCTGTGTTGTCCACTGATGATTGTTAGTGCCAATCACTGCCAATAGGAATCCCCAATTATGAATGCAATGAAGAAGGAAACTATTTTTCAGTACACAACAGCACCATTGTGATACAATATGGCTGTGAGAACAGCAGGGCTGTGAGCAGCTCTGGGACCAGTTCTCTGTCTGGCTAGACATCTGCTCGTCTCCTTCTGGTCTGCTATACTCCATTCTTGTCTGCTTTGCAGTGCTGTGCTCTGCTCCACTCTGTTCCAGTGAGACATCTTTGGTGGTTCAGCTCAGCCAGGGAAATGCAATTTTCAGTCTTGGGTGGAAAGGGCAGTATGCTTCCAGACAGAGGGGAGCTGGCTTATACAACAGAAGTCCTAGCTCCTGGTCCCTGATTTCTGTTCTCATGCAAATGAGGCCTCCAAATCCTCAGTTTGGTCCAAAAGGTTCTATCCTGCTTGGTCAGAATAGAGCTTTTCTGGTTTGTTGAATCTGCATATCTCTGATTGAATGGGGAAAGCCTCAGTCCTATTGGCTGAAATTAGAGTCCAGGAATTCTTTCATTAAGGGCTGGCTCAGATGGCAAAAAAACAATGCAGGCCTCACCCATGAAGTGCAATTTGCATAAGAGGCTCCTGTGTAGAAATGGCTACTAGGCTCTGTTTTGTTGTTGTTGTTTGTTTATTTGGTTTTTAATTTGAGCCAAGTTACCCACCGGGAGCTTTTCTTAGTAGATATCTTTTTTCTCAGAGTCCCCAGAGATCATCATTGATAGGTATTTATTGGACATCTTGTGTGTATTAGTCACTGTGCTGAATGTCCTGTAAGTTTGGTACCTCATATTAATACACAATTAGACTTCAACTGGGAAATCTGGTAATGATAACTGGTCAGTGGAATTTGTGTTCTCATGTCTTCCATTGATCACTTCTGGTTTCATTGGCTTACTTGCAGAATTGTAGCCTGAAGAATTTTCCTAAGCACCAGGCTAAAAATAGCATTATTATTCCTTCCATAGGAGTTTGAATACTACTCCCACCTGCAGAAAATTGGCAACATCTCCTAAGAGGCCTTGCTTTTTCCCTGGACTCTGGCATCATGGTTTCCAATTTTATGGGGTTTCTCAGGTAAGTGGAAAACCTTTTAAAAAGAGAATAAGGAACCAGATCAATTAAGTCAAAATCTGCTCAAAACATCTATGACTTTTACCTTTACTTTAAAAAATCTGATCCTAATATCAACCATGCTAGATAAGTGGGACAAGCACTAGAATCTCTAATTTGCAGAACAGAAACCAGGGCTCAGAGTGCTCAACCGCTGTGTCACATTCCTTTAGTGCAGAGTCAGAAAAAGAGCTCTGTGCTCAGGAATTGTAGTTCCTGTTATTGAGGTTATTTTCAAACTTTAAGCTAATAGACCTTTTTAAGAATTCTTTAATCAAAATTTTATGCAAAATCCTTTGTAATAAAAGCCTAGGAGGTGTCACACCTTCGCACGACACCTTTGTGGGATGTCATCGCAAGATGGCCACCTCAAGATGTGAGAGCAGATGTCTGCCACAAAATGGCCACCACAAAGACGGCCATCACAAGATGGATAGCAGGGAAGGGCAGTTGTGGATGATCAGGCAAGTAGGGGAGGGAAGTTGTGGGCAACCAGGCTTGCAGGGGAGAGCAGTTGGGGGTGACCAGGCCAGCAGGGGAGTGGTTAGGGGCAATAAGGCAGGCAGGCAGGTTAGGAATCATCAGTCCCGGATTGTGAGAGGGATCCCAGATTGGAGAGGGGGCAAGCTCTACTGAGGGGCACACCCCACCCCCATGCACAAATTTTGTGCATGCGGCCTCTAGTCTCAATATATAAAGTAACCAATGGCACTAGTTCATTAAAATAAATTTATTTTAGCCCTGGTCAGTGTGGCTCATTGTTATTGGGTGTCATTCCATACTCCAAAAGGTTGAGGTTTGATTCCTGCTCAGAGCACATACCCAGATTGCATGTTTCATCCCTGGTGAGGGTACATACAGGAGGCAACAGATAGATGTTTCTCTCTCATATAAATGTTTCTCTCTCTCTCTTTCTCTCTCTCTCTCTCTCTCTCTCTCTCTCTCTCTCTCTCTCTCTCTTTCTCTCTCCTTTCTTCTCTCTCTAAAATCAATGATAAAACAGATCCTTGGGTGAGGATTAAAAAAAAAAGATAAATTTATTTTCCAGTTCAACTTTGTGTAATATTTACACATTATGAGGTCATTGAGTCTGTTTTGGTAAACACCAAAATTTGAACTCAGGATTTATGGCTGATAGCTGGTACTTCAGCCGCATCACCTGTTTGATTTTACACTTGTTTTAGCTGCATAGTGTTAAGGAAATCTTGATCCGTACAGGTAAATAATTGCAATTAGTAACATTTTTTTTTTTTTTTGCTAAAACTCATCTTGCAATTTTAGGATATTCTTTAGATTAATTGATTCAGAATCTAGAAAGATGAGAAGGAAGAACCTTCTGTTTCAAAGTTGAATCACAAAGGATATTGTGTAACACCCCCATAACTATTCATTATTGTGGAGGGACTACAAAAAAGTAAAATGGTTTATAATATGTTATTATGATGGTGCCACATACGATTGCCCAACCAGTCCTTGAGCATTTGCCCAGGCCTGGTATTTAATTGAGTGCAGAAGTGCGTGTGTGTGCATTGTAGTTGTAGTTGCTTGTATAATTACATGAATAGACATGTGCAAGCCTGAAGTTCAAAGACCTGTGCAGAGCTATAACTTTCTTCATCAGTGATATTCACATGTATGTCAGAAACAATTAGAGGCCTCTGCAAAATCCAGCCATTAACAGGGCAGCCCAAGTTCAAGTTTTATGGTCTCTGCAGGGTTAATTTTTGGCATTTAATTTAATTTTGCATATGTGTATTTTTAAGCAATAGATAAAAAATAATTTAAAAGATATTTGAAGATATGCACTATATATGCATTTGGTGTAAGCTCCATCACACTGATGTAAAACACAGGCCACATGGGGATCTCAGCCTCGTTGAATATAGTATCTAAGTGGGCACAGAGAAGTGGATGTCACGGTCACATACTAAACTGGATTGAAAAGAGCAGCAGGTGACTAACACTGGGCTCACCATGTGGTAAAAAAGTGTAAAATCTGGCTGTTACCAGAAAAGCCCTTAAAAGTACTGAGGACCTACACAATTGTGGCTACACAGGAAGGGCTTTACTTGGGAAAAATCCCCTTTTGCAAATAATTTTTCTTTTTTTTTCTTTTATAAACTTTATTTTGCAGCATAAACAAACATAATAACATATATTCAAATATATTCAATGTACATTGTTAGCACAAAAGTGAAAATGCTGCATTGTAAATTAGTAGGCACTAAATACAATTCAGGAAAATTTTTCAAGGAGCTTGTGAGAAAGGCAACTCTTCCTTCCTAACTTCCTTCCTCCCTCCCTTCCTTCCTTCCTTCCTTCCTTCCTTCCTTCCTTCCTTCCTTCCTTCCTTCCTTCCTTCCTCCCTCCCTCCCTCCCTCCCTCCCTCCCTCCCTCCCTCCCTCCCTCCCTCTCCCTCTCTCTCTCTTTCTTATTGTTTGAAGGATTGCAAATAGTAGTACATATGTCTCCTTTTCCCCCCCTTGACCTCCTCCCTCCCCCCCACCCCGCATATACCTTCACTCGCCCCTCCTGTGTCTTGTATCCATTGGTTATGTTTGTATGCATGCATACAAGTCCTTCCATTGATCTCTTACAGCTTCCCTTCCCACCTCCCTTGCCTTTCCACTCTACTTTGACAGTTCTTTATAACTATTTCCCCCCCCCCATTTCTTTTCTTTGAAAAATCTTGCAACTGCAGACTAGAAATAAACATAATAATAAAAACATTTGAGTTCCAATTTCAGTGTCCAACAGTTCTGGGACCCAGTTTCAATGTCAAATAGTTACTTATGTGTACATGTCAGCAATGGTATCTGGATGATCTTAGGCAACCCTGCTACCGGTTCTCAACCTGTGGGTCGCGACACAGGTTGAGAACTGCTGCTGTAGAGCCTAAGACCATAGGAAAACACCAATATTTACATTACAATTTATGACAGTAGCAAAATTACAGTTATGAATTTGCAACAAAAATAATTTTATGGTTGGGGTCACCACAACATGAGGAACTGCATTAAAGGGTCATGGCATTAGGAAGGTTGAGAACCACTACTCTAGATCCATGTAAACTGAGATGGACGGTGTGGGGTGATGGACAGACAGCACACAACCCTCCACACCCAACAAAAAACAAACGTAGAGTGTCTTTTGTTTAAATACTTCTCAAAATATTCTGGGGGGAAAAGGGCTATGGTTACTTTAAGAATAAGAGGTCAAAAATGGTAGATGAAAACACATATTTAGGCCTTTTTAATATTTATCAAGGCAACCAAATGGGTAAAGATCCATTGGAGAAGCTGGCAGATTTCTCTGCCTATAGAGAAAACAGGTCAAAATTAGAAGTTAGCTGCCAAGAAAATCCCTCAGAGGGAAAAAAAAAATATTTAAAGGGATTCACAATTCTGATATATAGAGATTTAATTTAAAAATCCCTGCTCAGTTTTGGCCAAGTCACAGAAAAGCATAAAGTCAGCTTCTTCCTGATTAAAAGAGACAGGTAAGTCCTGAGTACTAATGTAGCAAGTACTCAGGGCTTTTCTGTCCCTACTTCTCACTCAGAGTCTGTAGTAATGAAAAAGAATCACAGTGAAACCCAGTAGCAGAAGAAATGTAAGATTTAAATTGTTAATGGAACTGGTTAGTGGGCTGTCACTGAACCTTGGACCAGATCTGGATGCCATGCAAAATGTAGGGTAAGTAAAATCCTTTTGGACCAAAAGTTGGTCAAGGATAGATTAAAAAAATGTTCCTTAATCTGTTCCAAGTTAGAGAGGAAGAGGTAATAAGTGATAAGAAGTGTTTATATTTCTGAAGACATGCTCCAAATTGTGCACCTTGTTCTTTGTATGCACAGCTACATCCTATGTGCTTGTCCAGTGACTGAATTGAAGGAAACAGTTTCTCCCCAGAAGCTCTGTGACAAGCGATGATGACTGCCTACCATGGGCAGCAAGCTGGGTCAGTTAGAGCCAGTCTGCTTGTTCGGAGCTCTTGCTTTACCTGGTGGAGTGCTTTAGTGTGATTGATATATTTATGTTTGAAATGAAAACACAGAAGAAGAAAGAAAAAAAAACTATGAAAATGTCAAATGATTGTTAAATTGTCAGGAAATAAAGTTGATTCAGTGATTCTTATTTTGAATGGTAGTTTTTTGAAGAAATGCAGACATAATTAGAGAGATTACAGAGTTAGATGGTGATTTTTATAGATTTTATGGGGAGTTCTGGATCATTTTAAGTGTTGTACAGATTGATGGCCCTAGGTCAAGTGTCTGGTTTTAGTTTTCTGAAACTTAAAGGCTTTTCTTTTCCTTGATATACATTTCAGTGAATAATATTACTGTAACGCCTGTCAGCTACTTTTCTTAGAAATACAACTAAAAGAGATTGAGGAAATGAGAAAGAGAAAGGTGGGTGATGTTCTTCAGGCAACTGAAAAAGATCCTGAATACAAAAAGGAAGAAAGTGAGTAAAGAAAGTGTGTTTGTATGTGTGATAAAGAGAATGCCCAAAATAGTGATAATTGAGGTGTGACTCAATGTGAGAACTGAGATTCCCCTCAGTGGTAAAGAAATATATATATATATATATATATATATATATATATATATATATATATATATATAAAACCCTAATATGCAAATAGACCATACAGTAGAACAATCTAACAACTGGTGGCTATGATATGTGCTGACCATCAGGGGCGCACATGGAACATGAGGGGTGTGGCAGCAGGTGGCAGAATGCAGAATATAGTGGACTTCATTGGCTGTGGCGGGATGGTGGAGCAGGTGAGCTGGAGTGCCAGACCAAGGCAGGGTACCAGTTGCTGTCATTGGGGCGAGCTTCTGGTGGTTACTGAAAATTCTTTGCTCCTGTGTGCTGCAGTCCTATCTGGCACTTGCGCCTGCTGCTAGAGCCGGTCAATTCCCACCCGCTGCTGGTGTTGGAGCCACCACTTGC